TGCGAAAACTTTCTTTTTTTCTTTGTTACACTTGTTAATTGTTCCATCATGCTTAGACAACATTACAAGCACAATTTGTGTTACATCAAAGGTGCTGATCTACACTTTTCTTAAATAATGCCCTGATGGTAAATCCAAGTGTAATAGCTATTCACAAGAACATACAACCAACTTCAGAGGCCGTATTAAATTTACCAAGTAGTAAAACATGGGCAATCTAGCTCCTAAAACATGTTCTAAGAGAATCCTCTCAAATAAACCTAATTGGGTGCAGTAGTTGCTTCTGCTAACAGCTTTGGTAATGATGCTAACAGTTCCGAGCAGCCTAAAAATTCATTAAAATTTGTACATTAAATGGCATTTTAGTGCTTACTGGTATTAGAAGGTAGACTACTTGAAAGAAATGATGGATCTGTATAAAGTTTTATAAAGCAGCTTAAAAGGAAAGATGTTTCCAATAACTCTCTCTTCAGAAAAAGTTGTCTATTCCAGTATGGATAAATTAGAAATTTTTGTAGAAAATAGAAAAGTAGTTTTCCATGCATGCCAATTCAGCAGATTCCAATTTCATTAGAAAAGTCGACGATAAAGATACTGATTGAGTGTCTGAATGCTCCAACAGCAAATCATATGACTAACCTTACTACTGTAACTGAAGTATTGATATCCTGAAAGCTGTGATCTTCACTTTATCAAGAAGTACAGTTTCAAAATTCATGGGCATTTTAAATGCATGTAAGCAGAAAATGCTTTTTTAATGTCACAGAAGTGTGCTGGGATTTTCTTGCTCCCTAAAAAAAAAAAAAAAAAAAAAAAAAAAATAAGAATTAATAAATCCACTATCATATTATTTAACTTGAGCAAAATTTCTGAAGGATACTGCTGCTGTGTATGAAGCTTAACATGGATTTATTATCCAATCAGCAGCTTGGATTTTTTCTTACAGCCATTTCAAAGATGAAGCAGTTTATCAGAATTGTTGAATTCATTACAGCTGCATTCCATCCCAGAAAGCATGCAGCATTCCTTATGCTGAACATGGCAAAAGCTTTCAACCATGTCTTACATAAAGAATTAATCTATAAACTCATCATTGCAACAGCGATTGCAACAGCTTCAGATGTTTGAAGAGGTGATTATATAACCTGGAAAAGAAAGCCAAAAGTTTTGAAAAGCCTCCCCATTCAAAGAAGAAAAGCTGCAAGTTAGTTTCTCCCACTCCTCAAATTAATAATGCAGTTTCTTCCACACTTGAAATAGAGCCACTGGAGCAGTTGTTCCCTCCAGTGAAACTGCTGGAGACATTGAGAAACCTAGTCCCAATCCAGGTAACTAGTCTTGATGTAAACTCAGCTGATGACACAGTAGGTTTCTTATATTGCAAATGAAATGCTAAAGTTCTTCCCATTGTCATAGAAAGTTCTGGCTATAGCTGGAGAAGTTGGAGGACACTGAATTGAAAGTTTAGAGGTTAACATAAACCACAGTGAGTCAGTTCCACACCACAGCGACCACAGTTCTTTCAGCTAATTTCTTACCAATGGGACTTTTAGTGTATGTCGAGGAGGAGTTTTCTCTTTTCTTCATAATATTATAGGGGAGTGCTACAGGGATTGTGCTTCTGGCCAATTCTTTTTTTTTTTTTTTTTTAAATTTTATATTGTGGACTTTTCAAAGCAAAAACTATATTGTAACTCGCTGTTAGCTTTCTATGCTGATCATATGGAAGTAGTAAAAAATACATTCCAGGTAATTTATGCTGTAGACAAGCTTCAGGACTATTTTTAACATCAAGGGTTAATAAAATTATCTAGATGTCATCATCAGTAATATACTGATGTGCTCAAACCACATCAAAAATTTTACTGGTAAAGCTAGTGGTTTTATCAAGCATCTAATGCAATTACTTGGTGCTTGCTGAGAATTCTGCCTAAATTTAAAGTGTAGGATTTATATTGTAATCATCAAACTCATGCTATCTCTGTGTAGTTTGGAGCTGTATATTTGAAACTTAATAAAAGCAAATAAAGCAAAACGGAGCCTTAAAAATGATCATTAATGCTTATTTCTTCATACAAAATAACCTTTGGCATAGGATGATAAGCTGAAATGACTTTGTATGAAACTAAATGTAGCCAAGAGTGTAATTGAAAAAAAAATTTCAACAAAGCTGTGGATTGCACTTATGGTAACATTTTAGTTGTCCTGACATATAAAATTCTTTCTGAGCATAATATTTCATGCCGTTTGATAGCGTGCAGTCTGTTCAAATTGTTGTATCATTGCTCATTTTATCCCTATTTTGTACATATTGGTTTCCTTGGAATTGCATACTGCTTTATTACTCTTTCTCGTTTAATATTTTTGCATGTAGATTGCACAGCATTGTTATCTGGATTGCATGTAGATTGCACTAGCATCTTATACTAGTTGTATGATCTTCACTTTGTGGCAGTTATAGTATTCTCTACTTTATAGTGTTCATATCTATCCAGTTATCTAACTTTCTTCTTGAAAATTTTCCCTAATTCTTTTTTTTATTTTATTTTTTATTTTTTTAAACTGATTTCAAATAGCCATGGCAACTTCTTTTTACTTTATCCTGTTCTTCCCTGTTGCAAATTACAGGCTATTGATTACTTTCAGAGTTACTGACCATCTTCAATGGCATTACTTTTTATAGCATAATAGCTTGAATATTGGACCAAATAGGCATTTGCATAAAATGTCAAGTATTCACACAATGGTTTAGCAATTTAGCCTTCATTAGAACTCTTAAATCTGTTACATTCAGTTTATTTAACACTGAAAGTAATTTAAAATCACTAAAATGCTACCAAGAAATCCTCTGTAAATACAGTCAAAGTCTTTAATCCGGGCTCGTCGGGACTTCGGCGATTCCGGATTATCGGTTTTTCCGGATTATAGATCATCAGTTTAAATCTGGTAAGATGGCATGCAGAAATTATAAAATTAAAAATATGAAACCGTAATTTATGAAATAAAGAGCAACTATGATCTAAAGGGTATCAAAATTTACACAAAAAAAAAAAAAAAAAAAAAAAAAAAAAAAAAGCTTAATATTTATCTGTTTACTTTATTAAACATTTCTTTCAACGTGCGCATGCATAAGGCATACGTTACGCATAGTCGAAATTAGAAACCAGAAAACTATTTGATGTGTATTCCTATAATGACAAGGAATTTGATTTAAATCATATCAAAGACGGAGTACATCGAGATGAAATACCACATTTAGTAAGGAATTATAAGCTGAATAAAATAAAAACATCTGCCCTGAAGATAAGAATAGTACTGACAGATCAACTTCAGTTCATTGCGCGGCGCGGCGCGCCCCCCCCCCCCCGCAAAGCAGCGTGAAATTGATAAATAGATTTCAGAATGGTTAGAGAAACAAAGGATATGCCTTTATATATTTTTTGCAGCAATTCTACCTTTTATTTGATGGACATCGAAACATGCTTTCGCTTTGTAGACCCTTTGGCAGCTCCAGAATCAGAAATTCTTTTTGACATAATCGAAAGTTCAAGCTTACTTTTGTAAAATTGCTCTAACAGTCGGCAATAAATAATAAGCCTGATCTAATTAGAAGATTAAGGAACAACGCAATCTGAAACATTAACTGAAATAGATAATTAGATGATTTTAGCTTAGCTTATACCGTCCGTTATACATTAAACGCGCATGCATAAACTTATTATGCGCATGCGTCAACGCATTGTGCGTTCACACATGCGCAGAAAGTTTGTAGCTTTGATGTCCAGATTATAGATCATTCCAGATTATTAGATCAGTCCGGATTAAAGACTTTTGACTGTGTAATAAAATTCTGTAAATTGGAGTCTAAAGATTCCTTAATTATGAATTTTGAATATATCAATATCTAATATCTTTAGTTCTTTTTGAGCTGTTGACAAAGTGTAGATAGTTCTATAACAAAATATTTATATAAATTAAATTACGTATTGCATCTCCTTATATGTTTATAAGGTGCAAATTGAATTTTACTTTGATTCAAAGACTGTGCGAATATTTGTCAAGCCTTAAAAAAATAAAATTGTAGATTTTCTTGTCTATGCATTGATTTGCTTGTCGATGCATAATTCTAAAAATCACTGACTTAATTTAGGCATTAGCAAACTGATATAATTATTTATTTTAACCCCTTCAACATGGGTGTATCATATATGCTTCAGCAGCTAATCCTCTTACGAGACAGCATGCTGCTTAGCGCAACTCACCTTGGCGATGGTGTGTTGCACCAGTGCATCACCCCGGCTGCCAGTGACATTTGGGATTAATGCATATACGAAACCCATCTACAGAGAGTTTTTAGTTCAGCAACAAGCCGTCGGGAAGGGGTTAAAGCAAGCAATTTATTAAAAGTTATTTTAGGATATGTATATCATTTCAACAGTATTTTATTCGTAGTTTAAAAAATTAGAAATATGAATTATTCTGTTTAATGCTGAATAATTCGAGTGTTTTATGAATATTTTGAAGTATTGATATAATGCAATTTTTTGAATTTTTTTTGAGTTACTGGATGGGGAACATGAAAAATCACTTATGTCTTTGCTAGAAATTGAACCCAAGTTTTCCATTTGCTAGCTGGATGTGGTGATCACTATGCTTCATGTTCCCTTGAATGTATTTAATTTTTCTTGAGAAAATCAGCATTTACTATTTTTTAAACAATTTGTATCATTATTAGGTATTAGTTTTCTTTGTGGCTATTTGCTCTAATAATGCTAATACTTTTATAACCACTGCCTAGTAATAATTTTTTACAGCGAATGTGTATCATCATAAAATTTGTGTTGCATTTCTGTATTAATTTTTTGTAACATTAGTTTAGAACATTTTGTAACATGCTGTATAAACAAAACAATCCAGAAATATTAATATATATTTCAGTCAATTAATATGTGATTCTTAATATTAATTATTAATATTGATTTGTATTCTCTTTATCCCAGTGCCACCGTACTTTGTCAAGAGGCCAGAAAATCGAAATGCGTATGAGAAAGAAGATATAACTTTGGAATGTGAAGTATATGGGAAACCTGTACCTATCTTGCAGTGGTTTAAGAATGGAACTAGTATTATTCCCAGTGAATATTTTCAAATAACAAGTGGGAATAATTTGAAAATTTTTGGATTGGTTAAATCAGATTCTGGTATTTATCAATGTTTCGCTAAAAATTCTGCAGGAAGCATCCAGGCATCAGCGCAGCTTGTTGTATTCCCTTCTGGTAAGGATTACACATTGTATATTCTTCTGGTTAGGATTACACATTGTATATTTAAAAAAAATATTGAATATATAAAATTTGATATTTTATATATTCAATATTTTTTTTTTTTTTTTTTTTGTCATGAATGTTAGTGGATGTGAAAATGCTATGAATTTTCTCATTTCTGGGAGTTAAATTGTCTAATTATTTTATTATTTTTAATCTATTTGCAAATCATATGATAAGTAAAAAATGGGGATTTTTATAAATGGCTAGAAAGTAGAACTAATGTTTTTTGCAAACTTCTCATATTTTGTAAAATTGATGGCGGTAAAATCCTAGTATACGTGCAGCCTTGGCGCGATTTTGAAAATTATCGCCAACACCAAAAATGATCCAAAGAACGTCTATATATATATATATATACTATACACTATATATATATTATATACTATGTATAACCATATATATTCTTTGAATGACCTGTTTACTACTCATCGTATATCTAGGCAGATAGCCCTCGTGTGCTTTGCCATAATTAAATAATCCAATCCATCGTATATGTCGCGTTTTTACTGCTCATCATAAAGTCGCCAAAAGTAGCCAAATCCCGTGTGCACCGAATACTAGGATTAAACCTTGATGGCTATATTACTTAAATCAAAATTGCCTTTAGAAGTATACATATAAATGTAGAATTTTATACCTTAAATTAAGGTCACTCTAACTAGTGATGGCTCTTATCCCCAGGAACATTATAGATTTGAATAATCTAAATTTTTAATATAAGTAATAAAAATTAACTCTGGTCATTGCAAAAATTTCAAACTTTTGAGACTGAAATTTTCATAGCCAATTAATGAAGAGTTGCCAAATAATAACTGACAACTATGATTACAGTCATATTTTGTCTTCTACAAAATACCATTTTCTTATCAGATGAGATTTAAAGAGGACGTGTTTTGTTTATTAAACATTTCAGAATGTAACAGAGACATTAAGAAGTTTTCTAATAATAATTGATTTTTACAAAAAGGCATTCTGAAATTCCTTGAATGTGGCTAGAGGTACATAACATTAGAAGTAATACATGCAGAAGTAATAGAACAGCGATCGTCAACCCTTAGAACTTTACGGACCACTACATGTATAATTTTATATTTTACGGACCACTAATACGAATTTAAAAAAAAAAAGTAAATACATTTATAATGATCAGCAAACTACACATATTGAAAAATTACATGAAAAGTACAAAAATCTTACCTTCTTGTACAGAAAGCTTCACATTTCCATATCAAGTAACTTCGCGAAAAGCAAGAACAAATCGACAAACGCAAAGCAGTATCAATAAACTGATAGTGTTATGCCGCAAGCTTTTAATTCTTGTAAACATAATAATCATCGCTTACTCAGCAATGGCGCCATCGATCAACAGTTTGACAAAACAAAAACGGAAACTTCTAGTAATGCAATTATAAACAAGAATGCTGATGGCTCTCAAAAATCCATCCAGATGCCTATTGACACGGAGAAAAACTGTGTGTTTAATGACCACAATACCATATTTTTTTTTAATTCAAAAGAGAAGAGAATTCCAGTTTGCACTATTGTTGATAACAGCAGCATATCCATGGATGCCAACTCTCACTTTCAAATGTCGCTAGATTAACCTGCAAAAGTAGCTAAAAAGTCGCTAAATTCAGAAGGAATTTCACTAAAGGTAGTAACTTCAATTTAAAAAAAGAATTATGATTCACATTTCATAATACATTATTTTTAAAATACTGTTTCACTTGGTAAGAATGACTTGTCCGTAAATGCTGCTGTTATCGTTTTATTGTATGGTAGAATTTATAACATTACCTAAGTGTTTATGTTTAGTATTTTATAATCTATCTACATTATAATATGTTTGAGTAGTGTTTGATCTCAGTTTTTATTAATTGCTGAAAGAAATTACATGATTTTTGTGGTTTTTGTTTGGCTTGCACCAGTTTTGTTAAATTTCTGTGTGAGATTTTCCAGTTTATAGTTATGAACCATTTTCTTAGAAATATCTCATTAGAATATAATTCTTATTATTAAATTTAAAAAAACTATTTGTTATATGTACTGTATGTAATAGCGTGATATTGGGGTTTATGAACATGATAGGGTGATTTTTTTCTGAAGTTTTATTGACTTTTGTTGAAGTAATTATTATATTTTTTAAATATAAAATCTTTTTCTTTTAATTTTTTTCTTATACAGTCAAAAGTCGGTAATCCGGACTCGTCGGGACTTCGATTCCGGATTATCGATTTTTCTGGATTATAGATCATCAGTTTAAATCTGCTAAGATGGCATGCAGAAATTATAAAATTAAAAATATGAAACCATAATTTATGAAATAAAGAACAATTATGATCTAAAGGGTATCAAAATTTACAAAAGAAAAAGCTTAATATTTATTTGTTTACTTTATTAAACATTTCTTTCAATGTAAGTTGTTTAATGCATTTCATGTGATAGTACTTTCTCTTTAATTCTATTAAACAGATATAATTTCTTGTTTAGTTTCAAAGTTCCGCTGTTCAAGTCCTATAATTCCTGTGTCGAGAATACTGACTAATTTGTCAATCGAAATTTTTTCGTTTTCAATAACCTCTGTGTCATTTTCTTCACTATCGGAAGCGAATTATAATGACGAGGAACTTGATTTAAATCATATCAAAGACGGAGTACATCGAGATGAAATACTAGATTTAGTAAGGAATTATAAGCCAAATAAAACAAAAACATCTGGCCTGAAGATAAGGATAGTGCTGACAGATCAACTTCCAATTCATTGCGCACCGCGTCGTTTTCCTCCCTCCGCAGAGCAGCGTGAAATTGATAAACATATTTTGGAATGATTAGATAATCAAAGGATATGCCTTTATCCATTTTTTGCAGCAATTCCACTTTCAGTTTAATGGACTTCGAAACATACTTTTGCTTTGTAGATCCTTTACATATTAGTAAATATATATCGGAAATTCTATTTGACATAATCGAAAGTTCAAGTTTACTTTTATAATATTGCTCTAACAGTCTGCAAAAAATAATAAGCCAGATCTAATTCGAAGATTAAGGAACAACGCAATCTGCAAAATTAACTGAATTAGATAATTTTAGCTTAGTTTATACCGTCCGTTAGACATTAAACGCGCATGCGTAAATGTGTTATGCGCATGCGCACAAGCATATTCGCAGCCATAATAGTGTTATGCGTGCGCGTTAAAGTTTAGATAAACAAACGTTAAAGTTTAGATAAACAAAGGATATGCCTTTATCCATTTTTTGCAGCAGTTCCACTTTTTGTTTAATGAACTTCGAAATATACTTTCGCTTTGTAAATCCTTTACATATTAGAAAATATATATCAGAAATTCTATTTGACATAATCGAAATTTGAAGCTTACTTTTATAAAATTGCTCTAACAGTTTGCAAAAAATAATAAGCCGGATTCAATTCTGATGCTAAAGCAAAGTTTAAAGTTTAAAGAAATTAAACATTTAGCAGTAGTAGCAATGAAAGCTCCCTGAGATATGTTGTGCAGACATTGAAGACAATAAAAGATTTTGAACTTAACCAATTTATTAACAATATAATAAAGAATAAAACACAAAAATAAATTCAGAAGTCAACACAAAAATGACAAAATGACAAAATAAATGTCAAATGACGCAAA